TAGTCAGAGAGATAAAATTAGACGATGACCGACGATGGAAAAACCGGTTCTTGATCATTTGTTGTTGCTCCTTTGCGCACGAAAGGAAGCGAATGACGCGAGTTGCAGGATGTCCGGCGAGAAAAGTGCGCTTTCTCGGCGAACTCTATGCGATGTCTGGCTTTCTTCGAATTTTTGAAGCTTTGACATTAAGTATATTTCAGTGCATGCATTCTTGTAGTGGAGATTCGATCACAGGAAAGTTCGTCTAAAATCGGAGAAGGGAGAATGAGAGTCCCTTATTTGTTTGCATAATTTACCGACAAACTGCTCCTCCTTGATCGGCCCGCAGTCTGCGAGTTATTCCCGTCGCGATATTTTCATCGGGGAAGATATTATTTCCATTCCGGACGTGGCGAACGAGCCACGTGCGCCGCGAGCGCGTCTAGCGATCGGACGTCCTGTAACGATAGTAACGTCGAGAGTGATAGCGATGATAAAACACGACGAACGAGCAATAACACGTAATGAGGAAGTAGATGATCGACAGAAAAAATACTAGATAAAGTAGCGCGCTTTGTCAACGTGAAAATACGCGTCACCAATAGTAGATCCACTACGAGGAAGTAATGGTCGTCACACTACTGCTGCTGTCACCACCCGTCTCGTCGCCATTATTGCCATTAATACGGTCGCTACTAATTACTATTACCACCACTATTACTATTATTATGGTTATTGTTAGTACTTGCATTACCGAAACGTTGTTACAAGTAACACCGCTAATAATAATTATCATTAGAGCGCGAATGGCAACAACCGTGACGCACGATTGGTACTGGGCGACAAGGGAGAATCGATATCTCGTGGGCGCATGCACTTTTTGTCGCGAAACTAGCGCAGAAACAGTCGATGATGACATCATGAGGTAGATTGGGGAAACCTTGAATCCATTTCCTTTGCGAATATCGACTACTATAAGTTGTAGAAATTTTTGTTTTTTATTTCCTCATATCAAAAGTATCAATTTTCTCGTTGTCTGATTTTTCTTTTCTTTTTTTCTTTGCTAACGGTTATGGAACATATTTGCACAGTCTTGTCAATACTATCTCGAATGTATCTCTGTGTCTCTTGCAAACGGAAAGACAACTCCGTTTAGTGTAACTGAATTTTTTGTTACTTGGAACTCAGATGAAAAACTCGATTGAAGGAACAGAAAGATTCCTGCAGGAGATTTCTACTCAGTCAATTGCTCTCAGTTACCTGAACCGACTTCTAATGCAGCTGAATGTTCAGACGAATGATTTCACAACAGAGATGTTGTTTCTCGTCAGTGAGTTTTTCGTCTGATCTCCATTCGGTTACACAAACTGTTTTTCCTGTATGGCAAATAAGGACATCGGAGCAATGTTTATCCTGAAGGAACCGGTTCGTTTGCAGGCAACCGGTGATTGTCGACAGTTTCTCGCGAGGAAAAGTTTGCCACGTTCCGATTCCCTCCCCTGTCTCTTCTGTCGCCTTGACAGTAATTTAGTTCGGTCTCGTTCGAGATACCGCGACTCCATAGTTCGGGGGAAGTATGGAGTTCTTGTTGTTGAGACGAGTGACTCGCATTCTGTCAACACGTGTCAGCGCGGTGGCCACGTCAATCGATAGCAATCCCACGATTTCTTATTCCGGTTGATATTTCGCAGACACTTCCGCGATTTTCAGCGCGCGTTACCGCGATTGTTGCTCGAGTATCAGCTACAACAGGAAAGCGGGATCTATATTCGGACGTGTCGTGATTTTCTCCGTCGTGAATAGTCATCGAGAGAGAATCGTCGCTTCGCGTACTCCGAAGTCTCGAACTTGAATTTTCCGCGAGAAAAAGTGTTGTTGAGCTTGAAGTGACGGTCGATCCAACGACGACTGCGAGAAGACGCTGCTGCATCTTGAAAATAGAGACGTATAGCTAACAAATTGATATAATATTGTAATATAAAGAGAGATATTACCTGTTATATTGTTATATGTGAAAATTTCCCATTTATAAGTGGCTATTTTCAGACTGCGGCAACGCTCCTTGACTCCAGCGCTCTTCTTCCGCGGAAGAACGACGGAGATTCGGAGGATTCCGTCGAATTGTTCGCACGAGCGTCTTGCAGCCGCTGGCACGTGATCGAAAGAATGCTTACGTCGAACCTCATTGAATCTGTTCGTAATGCTCATCATCGAGTGACATTACAATATCATATACTATGTACAGAGAGAGTATTCTGCCAATAATAAAGTGTTGAGCGATTAACACGAGCGATGACCTCTTCTCCAGATGTACATCTGGCAAGCTGCCTCTGGTTCCCCTGCGAAATCCTCGGAAAGAGACCAGCCTGCATTTCGAATGTCTCGATCTCGAGTTTGTCGGTATTGCGAGATATCAGCGAGACATGAAATAACTTTTCCCACAAACATGAAGATCGTAGTCACGGAGGTGGATGGAGAGATCGCACACTTGTGTGTGTTTACGATTTTATTGCAGTATTACTGAACGATTGTCGTGGTAAGAAAAACCTTTACAAAACAAAATATTTCTACAAAAGTTATCGTCTTACGTGTATTAAGAAAGTTAGCTCGCTTGTACGCATTAGTTTCTCTTTCGGTATGTAGGTAGGTAGATAAGTAGATAGGTAGATGTTAAAAAGGCACCGGAATCGAAGAAAACTCTCTACTGATCGGAAGACGAAAGAACGCTCAATCACTCGGTCCCTTGAGTAGCGTGAATATACGCGCGAGACTTTTTTCCCCTAATATCTTTATGAATGCAGGATAATACCACAGCGTATACATTATATATAGATATACAGGGTGTCCCGCGTAAGACGGACCAAAAAAAAATATAAGTACAACACATTAAAGTGAACAAATATTATATAGGCCATTTTTCAAACAACCACGTAAAATTTCGAGATATTAATTAAAATAGTTGAGCATATCAGAGCGCGGCGACACACGGCAGGCGGGACATACGGCTCGCCGCGGCCGGCGAAGAAAATGGATGATTGCTCGCGGGCCTATCTTATAGGCCAGAGAGGTGGGCCGTTTGGCATACTGAAATGAGTAGCTCCGTGTGTGCGTCCGTGTACGTGTGCGTTCTTCCATTTTCTTCGCCGACCGCTGCGAGCCGTATGTCTCGCCTGTCGCATCGCGCGTTCTAATTTGTCCAACTATTTTAATTAATATCTCGAAATTTTACGTGGTTGTTTGAAAAATGACCTATACAATTTTTGTTCACTTTTGTGTTCTACTTATATTTTTCTTTTGGTCCGTCTTACGCGGGACACCCTGTATAGCATACAGCATAGGTGTATATACACAGAATATACTAGTGCGAGAACTTAAAACTTTAGAGAGTGCCTTTAACGTCTCTATAAATGCAGCTTCGTGTACGCAAACGATAAACATTAATACTGCAAGAATGCCACGCGCACAATAACCGAATTGCATTGTGAAATAAAACTAAACTATCGATCGCGATAGGAGAAAACGCTACGAGCTGTTGCTTATCCTAAAAACATGTGCACATCGTCCCTCAGGTAACTCGCTTGCAACACCTGAACTCACAAGCGGTTCGGCACCGCTCTCCTCGACGTCACTTTGAACTTCGATCGTCTGGCTCATTTGCACTTTCATAACCGCTTCTAGTGTTCAGTCACTCGAAGGAAAGATGAGACCAATCGACTGCGACCAAAGTCAACGAACGTCGAAGAAATCGGGCCGTTCGCCAACGATACTTTAATCGACACTGTTGGCCACGTGCTTTAGAGTTGGTGCGACTAAACATAAAATGAATACAAAACTCGAATAATGAAAAGCTATCGACGCAACTCCGGCTAAGCGTTACAGTCTGACTTCGTCAGACTATTAACGATGCAATTTTACTCGGTCAGCCAAAGTCGCCTATAAGAGGTGCCCGCCTCGGAATAGCGTTTAACAGTGAATATGTTATTACGCACATTGGTGTCAGTGTACAAAGAATTATTAAAATCTACCTAACGAAGAAGTCTAAATGTCTACAATGTCTGTAAGAATATAGCTGTAAAGCTGTAAGATGCGAAATGAATTATTTTCATTCGCTAACAGCTCACGTTACAACCTTACATCCATATTCTAAAAGATATTGTAGACTAGCTTTTACAGAGCCGTTAGAATGTTCGTTAAGACAAAAGTACCGATATCTGGACACGCACCTGACTGTAGACATTCTTATTGTTTTGATCTTCAAGGCTCATGGGATTTTTCCCCACGGAACTCTTGATTGACGTCAGAGACGAGAAAATACATGATACAAACTTTTGCACATATACATTGAAATATGAAGACACACTTATAAAGTGACACTTGCACATCTGTACATTCAAACGTTTTCCTTTTGCTCTAACAATAAATTACTGTAATAATAACGTTATACGCAACTTACCCTTTTCAACTCTATCTTTCTTCATAAGTTCTTGTCACATCAATTCTATAGTTATTTATTGATGGTTAGAACGAAAGGAAAGTTTTCGGGCTATTTTACATATCTGTTCGATCGATCAAAAGTGTCATTTTGTGGATACATCTCTTTATTTCTACGTATTTTGCAAATAATTTTCACGTGTATTTTCTCGCTCTTCTGACGTCATAGATCAAAATAGCCGCGACGAGAAGTTCCAGGAGCCTTAAATATAAACATTTAAATTTTTAACATGGAAAAGAATATTCGCATGTCACATATATTAAACATATACATATATTCTATATCGAAAGTTTAAATAATCGTATTCAAAAAGATCAAAATAATAAAAATAAGGATTAGATCCAGGCCTGGGTATTTTTATCTTACATTGCAGCCAGCGCAACTGCATACTATCGATGTAATATGCATTGATATAGTGCGTACGGAATGTTTCACTCTCACCACGTTGCTCCTACAAACGGCAGATTCCTCGATAAATTAAAAATTCTTTTAAAATGGAGCCTCTTCAAACTAACAGTCAAAACGCAATCGTGCACTCTTATAATTTGCATCCCTTCGATTTCCAGTCGAGAGTCGAATGTTATAAAGTCGCAGACCTGTACCTTTGTTGAAGAAAGAAAATCAAGTCCAAGGAATCTGTCGTTGGAAAGTAAAGCGCGATGAAACTGTGGTCAGTCTATATATGGCTGCGAAGAAGAAAAGAAAAACATACCATATCTTCGCTCGAAGATCCGTGCCTCGCAACCGAATTTAAGTGCCCTGTGCCAAATAATAATGACGCACGCCTCTACGAATTTATTCCAACATTCCTAATCAAATGGAATATGTTACAACGGATGAATTGGGGTGGACGCCACATCCTTTATCTTTCCACATTTGTGAAGCGTTACATTCTCGAAATGCTAAGTATCCACAAGTATGATGTCGTCCTCCTTTTTGTTCGATGCAAGCGGCGTGACTACTTGCAGACGGACCGACACATACAGAGGATAAGTTAGTTGCTTGTCCAAGGACATTAAATGTAGCTGCAAAATGACAAAAATACCAGACGTTACGTTGCACTCTGATAGATTATCGTGACGTCAAGAGGTCGACTGACAACTCACCTGCATATTCTTCTTTACGCACAACCTGAGTAGACCCGAATTCTGAATGTGTTTTACTTGTCGTTGCTCGTCCAACGAGAACAGGCAGATTCTGAAATCAGTATTCATTGAATTCCACGCTCTAACTCGCGAGAATCGTCACCTTCGCCACGATTCTCGCGAATTAACGAGAATGCAAAAACTCACTTTAATATTATGTTGTGTTCCTTGTGATTCGCTTTGATATGCTTCGAGTCCATTCTGTTGCTTCTCTCGATGTAAAAGGTCGTCATATCCATAGCCATCACCAAGTCCAATCCATAGTGAAACGCCCTCCATCTCCAGACATGTTCGCCCGGCTTCTCGATGCATCTACCGCACCGGAAGCACTCCTTGGAAAATTGCTCCTCCGTCATATTTACCGGACTGCAATGCACAGACGCGCACATATGCGAAGAAATGCATAATTTCGCTCGCTCAAGAACAAAGAGAACTACTCGTGACACGTTATAACTCACCCTCTCTCCTCGTGTCCGTCGATTCTCAATACGTGAAGCCACTGTTCTCTGTAAGCGTCGTGCATCCAATCAGGCGGTATTAAATTGTCACTGTATAACAGCTTAACGTCTTGCTCGTGCAATACCAAATACTTCATTCTTAGTGCCTTGAAAGGCGCCGCATATCGCTTGCCCTCCTTTGTCGTCAAAAACGGTTGCGTCCACTGATGATTCTTAAAGTACTCTTCGATCTGCGGCGTCTCCTCTTCATTGTGCGTGTGTGCAAACAACCTGCGCCACATTACGGACGAGTCAGCGCGATTGCATAATGACATACATCGGACATGGAGTGTCGGTGCAACTGCGTAACAATCGCATCGGTTACCTTATCTACGTACCATACACGTAGCATCGTATATATGCAAAATTCTGTTTGCATAGCGACTAAGTCAGGACTGACGATCAACTCCGTCATTAATTCCGGGGTGATCTCTTTCAGAAAGGTCGGATGGAGGTAACCGTAAGCCAATAGATTTACCTCCAACCAACGCTTCGCAGCTGCCTTCACTGCGGGCACGCCATATGACACGGCCGCATTGTAATACGGCACTACGGTTTTGATGTTAGTGGTCTGTATCATGATGTCGGCGCATTCGTCGATCAGTCCTTGCAATTGGAACAGAGTGGCGGTCGCCACAATAGAAACAACCTGCTTCGGCTCCAAACTGACTTCGTCGTGATAGAGCGAGCCCAGAACTATCGACAGTGCTGAAATGATCGTATTATATTTAGTGATATAATGTATTTATAATACATATATTATAGCGTTTTCAAATGCACGAATTTTGATCGATCAAAGCTCGATTAATCACATCATAAGCTTTTACTAGCCAGCCACAAGCCTTGGCAGGATAAAAGCTCTGACACTTCATTAATCAGCCTTAGATTAATCATAATCTCCGTATACTTGAAAACGCCATTAAATTCACTCACAGACATCTACAATATACTAGACTATAAACTCGTCATATATTTCTTAGATTCTATGTACATGAAAACTATATACTTTATGTAACCCATGGCAGATTTGGTAACAGATTAGAATACAGTTAAGCTAGAAGCACCTAGAAAACGTAAAACAGTAAAACTTCACTCTCCTGGCACTTCACTGCAAAATTCTTGATTGATGACATCAGAAGCGAGAAAATAGACATTGAAAATTCTTGCAAAATACATTAAAATAGTTTATTCACAAAATGATATTTATAATCAATTGAGCAGGCTTGTATAATAATCTGAACATTTCTCTTTTACTCTAACAATCAATAAATAACCGTAAAATTAACGTAGCATAAAATCTTTTTCTTTGACTTTAATCTACATGATTTTATCATGTTAATTTTACAATTATTTATTGATTATTAAAGTAAAAGGAAAATATTCGGCTTATTTTACAAGTTTGTTTCATCAATTGCAAATTTTGTAAACATATCAGTTTGTTTCAATATATTTTGCAAGAATTTTGCATTTTCTCACTTCTGACATCATAAATTAAGATGGTTGCAGTGAGGGACTAGGAATCCTAATTTCCCATCTGAATTAAATATTATATACCGGTATATTCATAGCATCTGAGTTAGCAGTCTAAGATACAACATAGAGATCTGTGGATTCACATTCTACGTATCCTTACAGCTCAATGTAATGTTAGGATCAGCGATTTCAACGTTAATAATCTTCTCATTAGCCTCTCTCCAGGATCCAGAAAACATACTAGCAAAATAAGGACTCTGCAAATATACACATAAGTGTATATTTATTACATAAAAAATAACTTATTTATAATAGTTTAAATTGTAATAATAGTTACAATATCTGATAACAGATTCTTTGATCCATTTAAGATTCATATTTCTTTAACAAAAGTATCAAGATAATAATTAAAATCTTTATATGTTGTAAATTACTTTTTTTATTCTTCATAAACTAGCAAAATATCAAATAAATAACAAAACTTGCTCTTTATTTAGTATCTCAGATTTTATTAAATTGAATCTAAAGCTTGATTTTAAAGTGTCCAAAATATCCAATGTTTAAAAAATAATTAGCTGTAAGAGATAATGGAGAATTGAATGCTTTTAAAGTTATCAATGTGTGTGTGATCAAAGCATTTGTTGCCGAAGCTTCACTAGATGGTGGTAGGGGCAGAGAGCATACGTATGAGTCATACCTGACTAATATAGACCTTGTGTAATCTCCATGCTCGTCCAAGTATAAGGACAGTTATGTCACTGCCTTTCTCCTCGAGAAACAGGGCTTTGTATATATACTGTGCTGTTGTAAGCAATTTTCTCCTGCAGAACAACATAGAGGGGAAATATGACATGGTGATATTTCTCTGACAAGCTTGATGTCAGTGACCATTTGCAAATAAAAGATTAGAGGTTACTTATCAGTAAAATATCAATAATATTCATCAATGTTAATCAGTTAATGATATTTACTAACATCAATAATGTAATCATACAAAATCAAAGAGGGAGAAAGAGAGAGAGAATAGAAAGAGTGAGGAGGGGAAAGGAACAAGAAGCGAGCGAAAGAGAGAGAGAGAGAGAGAGAGAGAGAGAGAGAGAGA